GTGATGAGTGTCAAACGCAAATTTTCAATCCCCATCGAAAGATTAGAAAATCGATCTGCGAAACGGTTGACCATTTGCTGAAACTGGTCCTCGATCCGTTGAAACCTGTCGTTGAAGGTTGTAGACGTTGTTCGTTTGTAGCCTCTTATCCTCGCGGCGGCATCATGAATCGTACTGAGCTGTGATACCAGCTGATGTAGGGAAGCGTACGAGTGGGAATAACAAAACGAAATCTCAATCTCTAAATATGCAAAAAAGATTTAAATTTCTTATTCCATCAACATCTGAATAAAACAATAGGTGAACGAGTCTTTTAATAAGACTCATAGAGTCCTAGACCTAACTTGTTCATCAAGCTACGAAATAATAATAATAACAATAATAGTAATAATAATAATAATAATAATAATAATAATAATAATAATAATAATAATAATAATAATAATAATAATAATAATAATAATAATAATAATAAGAGTCTACACCACAGGGCCACATCGGTTACTTCTCGCGTGGATTGTCGCCTCTCTACCAGTTGCCGTGGCAGGGTCGTCTACCGCAGTCCAGCAGACGGGGCTAAGAATGGTGTGCTTTGTTTTCTTCCCTTGTTTCTGGTCTTCTCTAGTGTTGGGTTGGTGGGATCCTCCGGCAGGGGCAGCTGTTGTCTCCAATTGTTTAGGCTGTCGTTGTCGGTTGTGTTGGGGGTGGGTTCAGATGCGGGCCTCGAGTTGATGGTTTGATGTTCAGGTGTTGACCATTTGAGAGGGTTTTTGGTCTGTTAGTATAAATTTAGTTAGCCGTAGGGGGAGTTTCGAGATCCTTGTGTTTGAGCCAAGGGCCAAGCCTTCTCGGGTGGTCGCCTTGAGTGCTGGGTCAAGTTGTGTGGGTTTCGAGTTTTTTTAGGTGTTGGAGAGGACTTTATTCTAGCTATTAGGTTTTCTTCCTATCGTATTTTTTGTGTTTTGTGTCTTCATTCTTCCTTTTCGGAGTCTTTATTCCACTTCTAGGAGTCTTTATCTCCACTTGTGAAAGCTTTCAAGGTTATTGTAAGTTTTGTTGGTTCTAGGCGTGTAAGCCTCCAACTACATTCAAATAAGTGGCGGACTTACGCGGATATTTAGTTTTTTCAAGTCTATAATTATGTGTTTTTTTTTATAAAGTCTATTGTTCAAAAAAAAAAAAAATCATAATCATCCTATCATTGTAATCGAGTCTCACGAGAGGGGTTAGTGCCTTGCATGTGGGAGGCCGTTCTTGGGCGGGACAACCTATGAATGCATATATAAGCCTTATTGTCAGGATTATTTGATTCTAGCGAGCAATGTTCGACAATTCCTAGATGTATTAGCCTTGCAATTCACCCCGAACATGCACCAAAGCAACTCAAGCTTGACCGGGATCATCATTTTTTATGCTATATATATGAAGCGTGCTGGCAGACAGTCGGGCCGGCTATTCTACCACTGTTCTCTGTGTCAAACTTCGACTTTTCTTGTGTTGTCACTAATGAAAAGGTAAAGTTGAGATATCCTAGTCACCCTTTGACGCGTTGGCGCACTCGAAAAGGTTGTCCTTTTTCATGTGCGACGCGTATGGAACAAATGAGATGGGTAACCCGTACGTGAGTATGAAATACTAGCTCATGGTAGATGAGGGTTGTGCTTCCTTTCCGAGCACATTGGAGAGGAAAAGTTACCACCATCACGCCCTATCCAGCGTGTATGGTGTTCCTTGACGAGGGTTGTTTTATTATTGTACAAAATGTGATTTCTTTAAAATTTATAAAAGGTGTGTTTCCCCCCCAGGCCATATCACACGCATCTTATCTACAACATCATCTCGTGCGATTCCACATCATGCATGATTCTTCCCACACAAGCCGCGCTTGCGGCTTGCCGTTGGGACTTACCTTACGACGATGTTGTCTACCGTTGTGAGAAATGTGAATTTATGGACTTTGAATGCATTCTTTATCTCCCGGCCATTGAGAATATATGGGACAAGAAACACCTGTTGATGTTGAAATATGATGCGAATTTAACTATCCAAGCGAGTTCAACTGTGATTTTTATGAAGAGGAAATGAATATGAAAATATGGATGTACCATTGTCGACCGTGTGATCTTTCCATCCATCCCAAGTGTCTCATTAGTGGGGAAATTGGAACATCAAGTTTGGGCAAAGGTATGTAGTTGTCGGACGTCGTCATCATCAAGATCACACTCATGCACATTCAAGTGGCCACAAAATTCATCTGCGACCTGTGTCGTGATCAAGAGGTCAACAATTCACGTGGATTCAAATGTGAATCATGATGGTTTGTTATCTGCTTTGGCTGTTTTGAGAGAAACGAAGATGAAATTCGCCAAATGTAACTGAAAGAAAATGAAGATTTTATGTGGTTAGAGCATCCACAATGCTTTGGGTTCAATAAAAAATTAATATGCCACCTAAAAAATAGACTTAGTCTAAAAAAATATATTCTACAATACAAGTGCAAGTTGATTGGACCCTACTGATGTGACAACAAGAAAAAGAGATCTTGTCTACCATCAAGTCTATTTTAGACTCAACTAGAGTCCTAATATCTTTGAATTAGAGTGTATTTTATTAATTTTATATAATTTTATCCATGTCATCTATTGTTATGTGAAATTTAACGACGATAATTACGAGAATTAAGTGAAGAGGAAGCTTTAAATTAGCCTATTTCTTATTATTTTCAATTCGGGTTTACAATACAAGAAGTCGGTTTACGTGGAATCGAGCTAGTTTATGAGTATTTAATGTGTCGGAAAAAAGATTCTCGTATTGGAATAAATATTGCTATTTATAGTGAACTCTGGCTCGTCTTTTGAGACTGATTTGGCGGCATTTAATGTGAGTTGACTACATAGGGACGGCTACTCTACGAGTGGGCCCATATATAATGATAAGGGCATGTGCGACCGGCGAGTGACTGACAGGCGTCTTGTCTGTGCTGGCTCGACCTCGGTTTTTAATGGAGGTTGGCCTAGCGAGTCTTCACTGAAGTTGGTCCTCATCCTGATGACAAGGTCGGCGTAAGTTGCGTTTTTTATTTTTTTTTTTTATTTTTTATTTTTTGCGTACTTTGCGTTTCATGTTTGCCATGTTGGCTTTTTTTTATTCTAGCCCTTCGATACTTAGTGAAATATTTGCAATTAACCTTCCACGTGACGTCCTCTGATTTAACTGTCTGAGTCGGTTGTCAACATCCTCCAAGACCAAAATTTATTTACATGTCACATAAGCAAAACTAGACTCAATGTATTGTAGATGGTTGGTTTAATTGGTCTGTACCAAGTGTCAAACGTTACTAGTGCTTGTGAATAAATATATACATACGTTACATGCCCAATTTCACGAAAACTGAACTACTATACTAGATAGAAAAAAAAAAAAACAAAGTAAAAATTGTGAATGACTTTTTCTGTAGATATTTTTGTTGCTGTTTGCTTGTTGCATATACGCTAACCAATATCTGCATTCGTTTTCAATTTCTCACTCAAGAACGATTTTTGTTGTTGTTGGGCCGTGGCGAAAAGCCATACTTAAGACACAAGCCCAACGTTCTACGAACGATTCATGACCACAAGTTTCGTTTATACTCTCTTCTGTGTATGACTTTATAATAGAAAATTGTGTTGGTTGAACTTAGAATGATATTTAGACTCGTGCAATGCGCAAATTGTTATAAAATAAGGCATTGTTAGGAAAAAAAATATTATATAAAACAATCTAATCATTTCAACAAATGAAACCCATTTTTTTTTTTTTTTGGCAGTTTAATGCTCCCACTTTCAGGTTATAGTTTTCTTGCTTTACTTCTAGACATGGCCGGGTCACCCGGCCCGCCAACCCGGCACGAACCCGGCCCGGTCAAACCCGTTGACCACGGGTCCAGGCCTGACACGGATTTCAAACGGGTCGGTCAAGGGTCATATTTTTCGACCTTGGCCCGGCGGGCCGGGCCGGGTCTGGGCCGACACGGAAAAATACATTGCTTTTAATTTTTTTTTTAATGTGGCCGGGTCCAAACCCGGGTTGGGCCCGACCCGGCATGACCCTAGGTCCGCGCCGGTTCAGGGTCGTCAAAACCCAACCCGGTGTCCCGGCGGGCCGGGCCGGGTCGTGACCCGGCACAATTTTTTGGCATGTCTATTTACTTCCCGTCATGGTCTTTAATTTCAGAATTTTTCCAGCATTCAAGCGTTTTTAGTTTATTTATGTTACACCAAATATTTTATAATTTATCTTGATGATCACTAGGCTAGCCTTGAATGTGATTATATTATTGTATAGTTTAGAACTTAGCAGAGTTAGCTGAAGACCACTACCCATGGAGTCTACAAGAGATGGTGGATAACAGACGAACCAGAGACTAGCAGCCAATAGCTAAAGTCGACAAGCTGGGTAATAAAAGCCACTAAAGGAAGATAACTCTGCAGTTGTCAATCCAACACTTTAGGATTTTTAGAAAGTAGTCTTAGCAACAATCAAGGAGCACAAGTCTGAAATAGCAGTAATTCGAAATGAGAACCTGTCTCCAGCCTTAAAAGCTCGTCAGGCGGCTGATAGCCAGTATAAACAGAAATGCCTGATGCTTTCGATGCCGAATGAAAAGAAAAACAACAATCCATGATATGTCCTGCGCATGTAAGAGAGATAACAATATCTCATCAACAGGCTGCACCATGGAGGTCAAACTCAGTAAAAAAATTACCAAGTGAAACCCATGTGATAAGTGCCATCTTCATTTTTTCTTAAGAAACAGTTCAATATCATAAATTCACCTACCTGCTTTAGAATGTTGCATGGCGAAATCTCTGATATTATCAACATTAAAAGGACCAAATCAGAGTTCAAGAAGAAAAATGGATCAAATCTTCAAATGGGCCTACTTGAAGGACAAAAGAACTGATTTTGCCACAATAGTTGATTGGTGGACCTATGGTTCACATTCATTGTCTCTAATCAGCTCAATGCTCGAATATATGCTTTAGAATGATTTTGATGCGGTCCAGGAGCTCCATTTCTTTGCACGTGCTAGCAAACACGACTGCGACACCATTTACAAAAAATAATATCAACATATGCAACATTTAATCATAAGTCTCCACAATTCACTAAAAGGATTAATCACATTAAGCATTTCAAATCTGGATCTATAGTTTCTATTGGTGCGCATATGTAAAGAAGTCATACCATTTTCAAAATACATTGATACAAATTCACAACAAAATAACTATTCAAAAAACCAATAACTAATATTTAAGGAGAACTGTATCTTTTCTTTTCTTGTTACGCAAAAACGCATGCGACTATACCAGAATTAAACACATGTGACGATATAAAAGAGTTAAGGGCATGGGATTGAAAAATATGTTTGGACATGATACTAGTAATAGAACCAATAATATAGTATACAAAAGAAGTCCCATAATTTCAAGAGACCTCTTTGTGTTTATACATATTTATATATTGTTTATTCAAATAATATTTTATATAAACCTCATGTAATACACAGGTACCATAGAAGAACAAATAATAGTTTACAAGAAAGTTTTCAGAATTTAAAGAGAGAATTCTGTGTGGCTCATTTAAATAACTTTCTGGGACATATAATTTGTAATTATATGGGCATATTATTAGTACCAGTCTATTAAAAAAGGAACGGTACATATAAATTAATCAAAAGGACAGTTTATCACCATCACCAGAAGAGAAACGACTCGCAGAAATAAAATGGAGATCATCCACAAGATGGTAAAAGGTTGCAGATAGTTCCTTTTTTTCTTCTCCTAAGCTCCATCTAGAGATTTTATACATTAAAATAATCACAACATAACTTTATAGCATAAAACTATCAGCTGAATGCCACCTGCATTGATGTGAAAATTGTTAATTAAATAATGTTTTACAAAGCTCATCCATCGAACAAGTTAAAATTCGTATGGATACAACTTAGATAGCTTTTTTTTTTTTTTTTTAAGCAATACACAGGCATTGCCTTATGATCAGGAAACAGGAATTATATCAATCCCATCACTTGCATATATCAGAATAACACTTAATAAAGACATAAAAAGTATACTTGAGAGACTCCACCAAACCACAAAAAGCATAACATAGTAACTTGATAGATAATTGATTAGAACCTTAGTACCTTACCCCAAGGGACGACTGGAAACTCCCACATCTGCAATGGTACTGTAATAACATAAGCAACAACCTGAGGAGTGAAGACTCGATTTAGAAAACACAAAAATAAAACTAAACAAAATGAAGGCTTGAATGAAGCTGAGCAAAAGTTAAGAGATTACCACTACTGATGCAGCTAGAGCCTGGGGAGAGCTGTGAAAAAGTGGTGTCATCTCTTCACACTCATAGAGCAGATCCATAACATCCATACAAGCTTCAAATTTCACATGCTCACCAACGCGAGCAACAACACTAGGTTATATCACAAAAATACAGAGCAATGCACCGGCTTAGGACAGATATATTCATATCAAATTAAAAAAGACAATTCTTTCAAAGAAACTGCTTACGTCAATTGAGCGATAAGCTCTTCAACCAATACAAAAGCAATATTTGACGTGCCAATCCCAAATTTCAGAACCTTCTCTACAAACTTGACTAATCAGACAAAAAGAGAACACGACAATTCTATTGCACAACAAAGAGTAGCTCATCATAGGTGCACCTGCATGAAGACCATCTCCTGCAGTTTTTTTGTTGACAATCATGCTCAAGTGAGAAACAGATGAGGTCTTTGAAATTTAAGTGAAAGTGATATCTTACAGCTTCCAACAGATCCCCGTTTGTGTAATGTTGTTCCTTGATATACTTATCGGACAACAATTTCAAGCTTTTCACCGACAGGGGAGGTGTATCATGTAGCTGAAATATAAAAAACTTAGAAGCAGGATAGGTGCATGCTTACAGGATTAATAAATACAACCACTTACTTTGCTAGTGACCCACAAAGAAATAAGAGCAAACAACTGTAAATTGCTTTCTCCAATTGGATGCAGAAGCCAGTTTTCAGTGCCCTTGCCATCTTCAAGACTTCCAAATGAAATACAAAACTAAGATGATTAATAAAAAACGGCACAAATTTACCATCCCACTGTACTAAGGGCTCCAAAGTGCGACATGAATTACATAACAGGGGTAAATTTAACAATTTAACAATAGTAAGGTAATGAATTCATTATTCACACATCCCATTTATCTTCATCGAATAAAATATTCATCGATTTCTTTCATATTATAAGCTATTATAAGACAGATATAAAAGAAAAAGCAAAAAACAAACACCACACACACAAATGGATCCATTTGTTGCAACTTGCAACTCAGGAGATCTTATCGATTCAATTTGCTTAAAATTTTCAAACCACTCACGTCATACACTAGAATGTGCAAATCAAACAACTCGAGAAGTAGGTAGGTGCCTACATATAGATATTTCTGAATGAAAAAATGCATTTTCAGGGACATCTTTCTGCATAGAGCAACAAAAGCAACGAAGTTCACGTTTACAAAGGGTGGTGATCCATAATTTTTATAGTATAATGAGAATACACTATTAAAGATGAAGAAAACATTAGGAATATATGAAGATGGTGTCATCCAGATCACATCTGCTTCTACATTTGAATATATATAATACAAATACTCAAAATTTTAAATAAAATGTTGTCAATATAGCTTGTAGTGATGCATGAGGGATCTAAGGTTTGCAAAAAAATGTCTAGATTTTATATCCACATAAAGATTGTTAGATACAATGTGCACATAAATCTTAGATCTTCACTAAGCAAAATTCTAAAAGATCCCAAACTAGAATGAAGCCAGCATATGGCCTAGTGAGGGATCTGGAATTCACTAAACGAAAATCAATCATTACAAGTTAGAACAATACACGAGTCAACTTGCAATCTGCTGAATGAATGTAAATCAACCGACAAAGATTACTTAACCATCCCCAGCACTGTAGAACTTAAAACAGACACCAGGACAAGTAGCTTGAACAGGACAAAAACAATTGTTCAGTAGATATCTCGGATCCAAACGTAAGCCTGTCTATTTACTTCTTGGTTTTATAATCACCAATTCGAATGAGGCTAAAAATGGATAATAATTAATGGAAGCGTAGCTAGGCTCCATAACAAGGTCAGAATAATTAGAAAACCAGGCACCTTTCATAAGAATATCACTATATACAACTACAGTAGCCTCAGTTTAACTATCATTCAGGCAATGAACTCCACAGGACCACAACCAACATGAATTTTAAGGAATGCACAACAATTTGCCGAACGAATACTAACCGTGAATTACGCAGCCTACACGATGGATAACAAATACAAATACAAGTATACATTTATTAACATTCCGCTGCTGTTAACGAAGCAATTGATCACATATCACGGTCTTCCACTCCATATGACAAGGAATAGCTTTGGGATTACGGCAAATGGATTACCTGGTAAGAGCGGGGTAAAAGCGGTCCGCGAACAGTGTTAACGCCGAGTACTTGACCATGGGCGAAACTTGGAGGACCTTTACAGAAAGAATCAAAGCGAAACCCTAGGAAACGTGAGCGTCTGTAGTACAAGGAAATGAAGACGAGAAAAGCGAGTGAGGGATATGTATGCGCGAGGATACAGGGAACCTACCCGAGAAGATCGAACGAGGAACTGGATTACTCGCCAGCGAAGGAGTGGGCATAACCCTGCTCTCGTAGTCATGGACCTCATGGCCATAGCTATGCAGAGAATGAGTAGCACAGATCACAAATCCGTCCTTAATCCTTTTGCTCTAGATGGGTTGTCGTAGTTATGGAGAAATGTTATAGGTACAATATTGTGCGTTTGTACTGTGCATAACGCACATCGAACGGGAACTATCAAATATAAAAAATTAAGTGAACCCATTCTGATTATGTGTAGCTTTATGTACATTTATTATGTACTTATAGTATTTTTCGCATTTTGTTTGTGCAGGTGTTTTATTTTTTCTCTCTTTCATTGTGATATGGAAGTGTAGTCGATTGAATTTTTTGTGCATATCATCAATATCTATATATTTTATTTTTCAATAAAATATGTTATTCATCTACTCCAAATTTTTTTTGCTATCAATTAAGTGTATTGTTGTTTTACTACTTTTAATGTACATCAGTTTTAATAATTATTTTTTTATCACATACATTCACTAATTAAAAATAATTAGTCATTCCAACAATTTCTTGCAACTATTATCTTTATTTTTTTATTGAGATAAATTTAAAATGAGTTGTATCTGCTTTATCGCAGTATGCACGACCTTAAAATATGGTATATAACCAAAACTTCATGTCGAAATTATATATGGTCGAATATTGTTCTCTTGGTAGGATGACCTTTAATTCGCTTTATCGTATTACTTTCTAACTATTCTCCTTTTTGTGGTTGCATATGTCTGCAAGGTAAGTCTTCACTGGCTTCTTAGCACTTAAAAATTGGTTGATGAACATGGAGCTAAAGCTTTTGAACTCCTTTACAGGTGCAAGTTGGTGGAACCAATCTTGAGTTGGTCCCTTCAATGTGGCCAAAGGCTCGGCAACAAACGAGATCGTTGTACTTATGCAGGGTAGCCATGTTCTCGAAACCTCTCAAGTGTCAGATCCTCATAGGCTCTAATCCGCTATATCTGGTCGACACACGGGTTATGCTCTTGGTTGACCTCGATCAGTCCAATACAACTTTCTTTTATATGCACCGGTCCTACTAGTCGGTGGTATTCCGGTCCAAGCCCGTGCGTCGTTAGGTCCGGATTTGGTACCATATCAATAGGTGAGTGAGGACCAGGTATGGATGGAGGGGTCTTTTTTCTAGCAACGTAAGGGTGAAAGGCCCCCTCAATTGTTTTTATTGATTAATTTAATATAAGCCATATAATTTTATTTTTTTAGTAACCAACCACGGTATCCGGAGCTATGCCCCAACTAATCCGTTGGTCGACTTAGGTCGCACACCTGGCAGTGGTGGGTGAGTCTCCCAACAAGGGTTTTCTGCATCCACAAGGACTCGAATCCGAGACCTTGCTTAAGGTCCATCAAGCTGCTTACCACTTGAGCCAGCCTCTGTTGGTTATAAGCCATATAATTTAATAGGATTAGATTCTCTTTGCTAAGATAAAAACAACCAGACACACATCTCATGAGCCATGACAAAGTCAAGTACTATATTTTTAGGCATTTCATGCAACTGCTACACTAACCTCTACTGCTTAGCCCTGTTAACATATGTTGTATATACTCCAATTAATTAACCAAAAGCTACTATTTGTTAAAAAAAATATTAATCAAAAGTCACTGATAGAGATTGAAACTATGCCAGCATCAATATTAATTAATTACAAAAAAAAAAAAAAAAAAAAAAAAAAAAAAAAAAAAAAAAAAAAATTGAAGAATTAAATATAATTCAACAATAGAGCCTTATATCTCTTGATCAATCTGTGCTTTTGCTAGTCCAATTCTCTAAATGTCAAATATGAAGATTGAAGTCCTTTCCAAAGAGCTGATAAAGCCTTCTGTTCCAACCCCAACTCACCTCAAAGACTTCAAACTCTCCTTCATAGATGAGAGGATACCAACTTCTTACATGCCTCTCATACTCTATTACAAGTTCGGAGTCGACAAAGACGTTATTAAACAATCCGAAATGTGTATTCGGTTGAAGCGTTCCTTGTCGGAAGCTTTGGTCCGTTTTTATCCCTTGGCCGGGAGGATGCGCGGCCAGGCCTCGGTCGAATGCAATGACGCGGGGATTTTGTACATCGAAGCTCGAGCCGAGGGGAAGAACATCTCGGACATCGTTAAATCGATGGACTCGCGTGATTTGGACAGGCTCGTGCCGTTCGAATCCAACGGCTGTGTTTCGGGTGCGGAAGAACAGTTGGCAGTTCAGGTGATGAGTAACCTTTTTGCCTTAATTTCCTTTTGAATATTGTTAGCAAACCTGATTAGATATGTTGTCTGCTGGAATCTTTTGTTATTTTAGTAAGCTGGAATTTAACAGCATTCAACTTTGACATATCCTTAGTTATAAAATCATCCAATAAGCTCAATTCGTTAATTCAAGTAAGGCTTCTTTTAAAAGATTTAAACTTAGTACACCAACTTGTTAAAGATTAATTTACATCATGACATGAGCTTGTAATAACTACTAATTTGTTTGGTCAGTCTAGCTGTCTAGATTTTATAAAATTTAAATGAAGTAAACAAATTTCACAAACAAATGTATTCACTTTTTTCTCTATAACTAGTGCGTACCTCGTGCAATGCACGAGACATAGATATTAAATGAATTATTTTCAGACGCTCCGTTCGTTTAAGTCTAAAAATCAATAGGGTTATCACATATTTTTCATTTGTATACATATTAATTCTTTTTTTTATCGGTTATACAATTTATTTTTAATTTGAAAATAAAAAAGGTTTGACCAGTTGAGTATTAAATCAGCACTAATTAATTTATTAAGCAAGTAAAGACGCAAAGCAAGACAATTTAATTATCCAGCAATTTAGGGTAATATATAGTTATTTCTTTTATTAAACATGATTTTTAAAAATAAAACAACATCAACCCCAAATAATAGGCAACATTCATGGTTTTGTTGAAAACTAAAATAATAAAATCCTTAATTAATGGGTAGCATTTAATGCTACTTTTTTTATTAAGAAAAAAAAAAAGAAAGAAAAGTTACTAAGAATGGAATGTAATTAATGTAAAATAATTTTGACCAAAATTTGACCTACTATTTTTAAAAATTGGTAAATCTTTTTATATATATATAGATCTTATTGACCCTATTTAAAAAATAGAGAATAAAAATATCCAACTCACCTAAATTACAAATAATCACTATTATTCATTTTCTTAAATAATAATCGGTATTCATCTGCTCATATATTTTTAATTTTATTATTATTATATCACATCAACTTTACAGGTGACCTTATTTACTTGCGGGGGGCTCTCCATCGGGATATGTCTCTCGCACCGAATAGCCGACATCTGCACGCTCGACTCGTTCATCAAATGTTGGGTGGCCTTAGCCTCATCCGAGGCCCGCGGCCACCCTATCTCTCCTATCTTTAACTCCTCCACCCTCTTCCCTCCCCGCAACACTCCCGATTTTAGGCCCAACTTCAGAAGCCCGTCCGTCCAGCCCATGCGATCCGCCAAGCCCGTCATGAGAAGGTTCGTGTTCACTCCAAAAGCTATAAACGCGCTAAAGCTTCTAGCCACGGAGGGCTCATTGGCGGACGCCAAGCCGACTCGGGTGGAAGTGTTGACTGCCTTTCTCTGGAGTCGTTGCCTGGCGGCAAAACAGATAATTGGCGGGAAACCGGTGAGGTCGGTGGCCTATCATCCGATAAACCTGAGGGGAAAGATTTCGGAGCTGACGGAGAATTCGTTCGGCAACATTTTCCAAATGACGCGCGCGGAGAACGAGGGGGAGACTGACTGGGTTCGGCTGGTGGAGAAGGTGAGCCAAAGTTTTGTTGGAACTAGTTAGCATCTGCAATATTTTTTAGTCTGATTTTACTTATGTGACATATAAATGCCCAAAATTTTGAATGATATGAATAAAACTAAATAAAAGCAACAAATTCATTTCAATGTAAAGAGACAGCGTCTCTACTTGGATCTAAAAAAGATTTAAGAGTAGATCGAGTCTATTTTTGTTACTGCCACACTAGCAGGGCTCAATCCACTTAAATCACTTAATTCAATTTGAAAACTTTTAGTTTAAAAACCTTATAGTCCTTGGAGAATTTAGATTTTATAACTAATATTTGGTTTCAAAATCCCCCTTTTAAGAACTGTGTTTTGAGAAAATGTCTTATTTCATCATTCTCCAAGAATTGTATTTTTTTATAACTTCTTTTTTTTTTCTTCCAAAAAATTAGAGAAATCGTACACTAAGAAATCGGGTTTATTTATTTATTTATTTCAATTTTGTCTCGAAAACTAAAAAAAGTGCATACGTCCGGCCCGTGAAGGTGAGAGCTGCATTCAAGAAAATCGACAGCGAGTATGTGAGGAAGCTGCAAGGCGAAAAGGGTTTCGAGCTTGCGAAGGAGAACTTCATGGAGATTAGTAAGCTTCTGCTGCTTGGAGATGTGGAGATATTCAGGTTCAGCAGCTACAGCAGGTTCGGATTCTATGAGGCGGACTTTGGGTGGGGAAGGCCTGCTTGGGCGAGCAGCGCCGGGTATTTGGGTACGGATACCATCTTGCTAATCGACTCGTTGCAGTGTACGGGTGGCATTGAGGCGTGGGTTGTGATGGCTAAGCAAGATATGGAGAGGCTTCAGCAGGACTTGGAGATCCAGCTATTGACTTCATCTTTTGTATCATGATATGTGTGTAATGGATTAGTTGTTGTGTTAGTCCATCTAATCTTGGTTTCCATGCATTTTTTGGTCAAATCACGTCTATGCATTTCACTTTGTTTCCATTTTCATGTTGTTTGTTGTGTTTGAGATTAATTGTCAATACATTGGCTCAATATCACAAAAGAAAAGTCGAATGAAAGAATGAAAGAAACAAAGTTGAGGAACTTAAATATACGCTCTTTTTAAAACGAAATATTCTCATATGTTATTCATGGGTCACTACAAATGCCCCCATTATACCACGATTTTCGACTTGCGTATAAAAATAATTTAAATACACAAGACTTTTGATGGGTCCTCTCCTAAATCTGTAGTGAACCGGTTGAGGTGAGCACCAATATGTCTGAATCGCCTCCAAATTGCCTCCAACACCTGCAAGAACTCAACGCCAGAGGTGTTTCCGGCGTAGAGCCTCCGACGCTCAAGTCAGTGATTAGGAAAGAAGAGCTGCTGGGCAGCAGCAGGAGATATGAAATGAGTAGAGTGTGTAAAAGTTAGAGTTTGGTGTTACCTCTCCTCCTTTTATAAAGGGAAATACCTGTCTTGTCTAGAAGTACCCAGAATATCCCTGGTCGACCGGCCTATTTGCCCAGTTTACTTGTGTCATAATCAACTTTTAGGTAGACCTGAGTCTGTTTGTTATGTTTTTGGGCTTATTTTTATGTGTTTATTGGTGTTTTTGAGTCGGTTCTAGGTTCGTTTTTTAGTCGACCGGTCCATTTTGTCGTATTTTGTGTGATTTTATGTTTTATCTTTTATTTTGTATTTTGGCGTACTTTTCCGTGTTTTGGTTTAATTTTCAGGTTTGTTCCAAGGGCGAAAGGATAGAGTCGAGCCAATTTCCATGACGAGCTTCCCAAGGTCAATTCCGAGTATCCCGAGCCATTTCGGACGAACCATCGTCGATCGAATACGTCGAGTCCTTAGTCAAGCCGTACGCACGCCCGCACGTTGCACTGCCGCGCACGCGCGTCTGCACTACCGCACCCGTATGCCTACACACGCCCGCGCCCCACGCCAACTCGCGCGCTCGCGTAAACTGCTGCGAGGCCGAGAGCACAGCACGTCACGCACAGGCCAAAGCTCGCGTGCTCGTGGAATCATGCGCGTGGTCGAGAGTACCGCGCATCGCCAGCGTCCGCGACTAGCGGAAAAGCCGGCGACCTCGAGAGCCTCGCACGTATCCTGCCCGTCTCCGCCCGCGCGCTCGTGGGCTGTACCGCGACATCGAGAGTGCCCGCACCTGTGCTGACCATCCGCATGCACCGGACGTCCGCGTGCTCGCGGGCATATATGCGTGATCGAGAGTGCGCCCTCCTGCTGTCGCGTGCTCGCGGATTTCTTGGCGTGCTCGAGAGTGCCTTAGTAAATCTGCGTGTTTTAATGTGTGTGTGGGTAGTAGAATAAATACATTTTGTCCTTTGCATTTTGAGGATCCAACTTACATTTTTCATTTTTCCACTTTGGGAAATCAGCTTTTATTTTATTTTGCTCTCTAGATTAGGAGCTTATGCTATTTTCCTGGAGATTTTCCGGCGACTTCGGTTTCGTTCAAGTTTCGAGCTTTTGACTCCGTTTTTCATCGTCTACGCAATGAGAGATTGAGTATTTAATTTTAAAGCTCTTTACTTCGTTTTTGCTCCGGTTTTACTTAGAGTAAATTGGATTTGATTGATGATGGTGGAAATGCTTGAACTTGATTGCTTGCTTGAGTAGATAGAGCCGTTAATTACTTGTTGATCTCGGTTAGACGACTAGGGTGGGTTAGCAATCTAATGCTCGTAGCTCGTTTATTCCGTATGTCGATTGATTATCATCCCGTATTGGTTATGGCATGAGACTCCGGTGATCTAGTTTGCGAATTGCTCATCTCTGGATCTTGCTTTCTATTAATTGTTCGTTTTTAAGTGTTCAAGTAGTGTTAATCAACCATCCAATCAATTGTTTAGAATGTTTAGGATTTTATTTTCGATTTTTGTGATTTGGACGATCATTTAGTAGACGAAGCTCCGAATAGCCTTCCTTCGAGATCGACCCGAGTCCGGAAGCTCGGTTACCACATGCCCAAAAATATACTCAACAGAGTCAGCCTAAGATTACATCTTATCCGATAAAGATTCATCCTTATTCATCAAGTTGGCTCTGAATATCCTGACAAGTGCTTGGAGTCGTCATAGGTCTCCATCCTCGAGATATAAAGAATCGTCCTCGAGTATCGAGAGGTCGACTTGGAGTTCATGCATGGGAACATGTTAAGTGGCTCTACCACCACTCTTTGAATCGTCTTCACCTTCATAATGCAGCACATCGACTTCAAGCTAGTCGACTTCGATTTAGATAACTAAGAAGGTCGACATCGAGGATATCGACCCTTTATGCCATAATGGAAATAGAGGAAGTCGACTTAGGGATGTCGACTTCCTCCTTCATAGTTAGTATAAGAAGAGTCGACTATAAGGCTGTCGACTTCAGAGTGTTCCGGTCGATATGTAGGCGACTCGAATCGTCATTCAGACCAGGCGATGGGTACTTAGATCGGTATATCACAATATGGCTATATCAACTTTAACGAACAATACTCAAGTTTCATAGCTCTCAAGATAAAAACAAACATCAAGAACAAAAAATGCGTTATAATTTTTGTAAATAATTCAAAAGAGCTCAAATATGATATTTGAATGATTACACATTCATAAGTACTATTTATAGATGCTCCTTGACATCTTTGGAGGGTTCATTGTGTTCAAAGACACATTTCGGGATGTGCTCGATGGTCTAAAATTGAGGTAAAACCTTTTTGACACGAGCAACCGTCACGCCCATGACGAGCCATCATGCCCAACTCCAACCATCGTGCCCGCGACGACGCGATGTGCGCGCCGATGCTCACTTGTTTGGACTTTAAATGGTGTCAAACTTTTCTCACTCATCTGTTTATTGTGTTTTTGTGTTTATTTCTATGTGTTTTCGTGTGCTTTCGAGTCGATTTTATGTTTATTTTAGTGTCGACCGGTCCACTTTGTCGTTTATCGTGTGTTTCCTTGTTTTTCTTATTTATTTTATATTTTTGGCGTACTTGTTCATGTTTTGATACATTTCAGGTATATTCCGAGGATAGAGATGGAGAGTCGAGCCATATTCCGAGAGAGAGTCGAGTCACGTTCCGAGCAATGAGCATTTCCCGAAGGAGTCGAGTTTCCGAGTAGTTTCAAGCCACTTCATGCGAGTATGTTCGAACCAAGAGGTTGAAGCCGTAGTCGATGCCGTATTCTGATGTTGCCCCGCACATGCCGCGAACCCGCCGGAGAAACCGCGAAGTCGAGAGAGTGCACTGCCACTGTCCGCACGCACCCGCGAGCTCGCACGTTCATCCGCGATCGAGAGTCCAACGCCCAGTCCAGCGCACTCGCGCGCTCGCGAGTCTACCCGCGCGATCGAGAGCACACTGCCCGGCACGCACTCGCGAGCTCGCCACACCGCCCGCGGCGTCGAGGATGCATGGCCCTTTCCAGCGCACTCGCGTGCTCGCGCCCCTCTCCGCGTGGTCGCGAGTTTCGCCGTCCCAGCACATCGCGCACTCGCGTGCTCGCGCCCCCCTCCGCGCGATCGAGAGTGCTGCCCGCCCGTCCATCCCCGCACTTTTGTTACTCGCGAGCCCGCGATGTCCACCGCGAGCTCGGGAGTGTGATATTTTAGTTGCGTTTTAATATGTGTTTTTCCTGGAGTATAAATACTTTTTGGCCTTTGCATTTGGGGATCATCTAGCTCATTATGAAATGTTTCCCTTTTTGTTTCTTAGCTTAAGTCTTTTATTTTCTCTCTAGAGCAAGGTGGATGCTATTTGCACTTTCCGGCGACTTTTTCCGGTGACTTCTCGTTTATGCAAGTTTTAATCTTTTTCTTCCGATTTCGATCAAGCATGCGTTAGGGATGTGAGTACTTACTTTTAAGCCTTGTGATCTCGATTTTCGTACTTACTTGCTATCTCGTGCGTAGAAGTAATTATAGCTTGCTCGGTTGTCGGATTTTTAGTAGCTATTTTAGTCGTTTTAATTTCCTTTACTTTTGTGAGCTCGTTTATGATGCTTGGAGTTGATTGATTGATTGATTGCTATTAGAAAGATTGAGACTTGATATTTAGCTCGGTTATTTCGTGGTAGGATTTCGATTTTAGCTATCAAGCATGTTAAATGGAGTTCGTTTCTCTTATTTTGGCTTTTTGTTGCCCTTGGCTTTGTGCACCGGTTAGTTGCTAGAGTTTGTAGCACGTTCACTTGCTCATTGTTCGTTTAATCGCTTTCCATCGTCGTAATTAGCGTTAATCAACCTCAATCAATTGTTTAGAATTTTTAGGATTTTCTTTTCGATTTTTGTGATTTGGACGATCATCTAGTAGACAAGCTCCGAATAGCCTTCCTTCGAGATCGACCCGAGTCGGGTAACTCGGTTATCCTTTGCCCATCAAAATTATACTGAACATCATCCGCAAAGAATCTTATTATAGTTCTAGCACGACTAGTACATGATTATAGCTTGTTTGGAGGCAAAATTATAATTTTAGTCTTGTTGGTTTGACCCTCTGGAGTTTTTAGTCCTAAGATCCAACTTTTTGCTATTTTGTCATGTGATTTAAAATTCTACAGAAATTTTAATCCTTTCGGTGGCAAAAGTCAACACTATCTCTGGAATTGTTAAATGACCCGCACGTGACAAACATTGGGCCATTTTATATGATACATCAACCTAATGACATGGTAAGAAAAAATAATAAAAAATCAAAGTAAAATAAAAAACGCGTACACATTTAAAAGGGGGAATCGACTTTGAAGTCCAAATCTAAGCCCCAATTCTCAACCACCAAAGAACCATAAATTCTCTATGCAAGAACGTTAATCTCAAATTGGTAAGTGAATTCAGGAGGAGGGTCATGAACCACGTCTTTGCCCGGTCCTTCATGGTGCATG